CTTGTTGTGTTTATTCAACTGCCTTTTCGTTTATCAATAAAAATCCTTTATCAATGAATGAAAGAAAGAAGGATAACAGAAAGTGTAAATACAACAAAGTACCGGTAGTAAGTACACATAAGAATTGTTGAACATTTTCATACAAACATCAATCATATAATATAAAAACATGCAAAAAATATTGTGTAGAAATAAAATATGTAGAAAAGACTTTAATTGAGTTTGAATTACTGTGGATTCGTTAGTTTTTCCTGGGTACCAATTTTCATACATTGAGTGAAAAATGTCTTTTCATGGATATTTGATTTTGGTTTCGGCAAAGTCTCCATTCAAGACTATAGAACATCTGTATTTTGTGGAACATTTAAAATTGTGGTTCACCTATACCCACGAAATCCATGAAAATTGGTCTCCCACTAATTATAGTAATAATAACTGAGCAAAAACAATAAGTCGAAAAACTTTATTTGGGAGACTTAATAATGAACCCACAGTATACCAAAGGGTCATTGATAATTATCATTAATTCAATATGAACTACTAAGACAAAGATTGTAATTATAAAATTCAACTTGCAATATAGTTACAAATACGTACAATATTTTAAAATTGCATCAGATCTTTATAAAAAAATACTGACATCAACTTTTAATACTTATAAAATTGATAATAACATGCCACAATTTAATAGGAACATAATGAATAGTGTAACAGTACATGCATTAATAGACTCTCATACAGTAACTATCGTTTGGACAATGCCTATAGATGGCAAAATGAATATCATGTTGAATATTCTACTAAAGTTTATATTATAATTATTTTTCTTTTCAATTCTTAGCACTGTTTTCATTGAATATTTCAACTTAATGTTACCTTTTTTACCTAATACTAAGTTTAAAAATCAATTTTAACTCTTTTTAAAATTTAAGACAAAATTCTATTCTTAAATGTTTAATGCGAATCAAGTCTTGCTATCTATAGGTGTGATTTCAGTTACTGAAGATGAATCTTTTACTTCCAATAAATTATCATGCAGTGTACCAACTACATGTACCTCATCAACTGCAGATCTGTTATGCTAAAATAGATTTTTCTCATTTTTATAATTATCAAAATAATAATTTCTATGTCTACATGTTGTCCCTGTTTGACAAATTTCAACACATAAGAAAACCAATCTTGCCACATATTTATTAAACGCAGTGCATTTGAGAAAAGGTTTTAGAGTGAAACAATCTCTGAAAAAGAGTCTTTTTCCTTTTTTTTTAAAACAAGAATTTTTAAGCATAAGTGCCAGACTATTAATTTTTCAATATTTTTTTTATTATCCTTCATTACAAATTCTTTAAACTATAGAGATTAACTTTTCATAAGTGACCAATTTGAGAGTTCCATTCAACATAAAGTTGATTTCTTTTCAATAGCTATCAATCTTTGTTACTGTAACACAGGCTTTAAATTTATATAATAATTATTATGTTCTTTAATCATTCATAGAATTGTATTATAAACTTTGCAACCCCAGTGTGGTATAACTCTTTTTATTTGATGGAAAAAAAACAACTTTTCATGATTTAAAAACTTTCTATGAACAACTAAGTCAAGTTACAATAAAAATACTTTAAATATCAATCATTATTATTAAATATGGAACCTTTAGACTTTAAAAAAAATAACCTTCAGGTTAAACACTGGTAATTTTTCTGCACTGAAAACAACTACTTATATCAAATGATCATGAGATTTACAATGTCTTAATTCTCCCATACAATAAAATAAAAGTGGGTGACATTAAAGTTACTTATCTTTTGCAAATATTATAATAAGACAGACTCAATACGTTTTCTTCTCTTTTTTTTCCAGATAATGCCATGTGAAATATTTGGCCCTAGTTTTACAGGAGTACATCTTGATCATAAAAAGTTATATGAGATGTGATCAAGTGACTCTTTCCCTTTATAACAATTGTAAATAAGTCAGAAATATTGGACTTTTGTAAAAGAAATAAATCGTAAAATTTCAATATTTGAATTTTTAATTGAAAATATACTGTTCAACATTTTTTAAATCTAAGTTAATTTTAGGAGTTAGTAATTTTCATTTTCTTTTTCTCAAATATTAAAAAATATGCAAAATCTTGAAAATCTGGGTCCTGTTTTTTGTGAGATAAAGAAAAAGTTATAAAAATTTATTTAAGTGAAACTAAGGAAGACTTTAACATCTAATAAGCAAAATTCAAGGTTGTCTTCTCCCAAGTCTATTATATAAAATTCCACAGATATTCTATCTTTAGCCATTTTGTTTATAAATCTGGACACCAAACAATTCCATTAAAACATCTCAACCGTATATCACAAAACTGTGCAACGAGGAAGCACTTTCCAATATATATTTACTATGCTGCAGATTTATAATGCCAAAATCGATTAAAATCAAAATGTAAAGAGCGGCAAGGAATAATATAAAAACTATCTATTTAAATACAAAAAAATTAAAGTATCTTTTCTTTAAATCAAAAGTTCAAAAATAAACGTACCTGCATTGTTTGGTGTTATTGATTAATTGTAAAGGGATCTTTTGACAGAACAAAGAGATTAGTTTGGTTTTTTACAAACTTATTGGACCAAGGATTATTTTCATTTTCTTTTTAAAGTGACATAAACCATTTGATTATTGATCAGCCTTTGCTTACTTTTTAAAACAATGAATTGCAAATAAATATCAAAACATGACTACACGCATTTTTGTTTTTGTACATTTAGGTTACATGTTTTTTAAGGGACACATATACTAATTTATGCCATACAAGATTCTAAGCAGCTTACAGAGGATTATGTCCTAATTTTAAACAAATATTTTATAATTAGATCTGAAATTAGATTCTTTTTAAATTAAACATGGTTTATAAACCCGCCTGTAGAAGGAACCAGTGAAATGTAGGTCATCTTGAACAGAACACTAACTTGACCTGCTATATTTACATTCATAACAAAAAATAACGCCAAGTACAATTTTCATGAAATTGTCTGTCCATGGCCAGTATTCTGTAAAAAAAGTTCATCAGAAACAGAACACATACTTGATCTGTAACCCGCCATAATACACTTATAAAACATAATCAGCTTAATCTTTAGGTATACAAAAAATTATAGACAACTGTTGGATTTTACCATTGTTTTGTTATGATCTTAAGTGATTCATGCCACTTTCAGCACACTTGGCTGCCATGATCACTTGGCTGCATCATGGTAGCCTTTTTTTAATTGGTGGAGAAACAGATGAAATGAAGAACAAAATGAAGGATATGGGTAACACTAAATTGCCTGACAGCTTAGTGGCAGTGAGGAGGGTATAAAAATAATCATAAAAAGGTCATTTTAAAGAATGTTTAGAAAAATAAGGAGATGTGGTATGATGGCCCATGAGACAACTTTCCACAAGAGATCAAAGGATGAGAATATAAATAACTATGAAGCACTGTACAGCAATTAACCATGATCAAAACCCAGACTACACACCAGCTATAAAAGGCACTGGTGTGGCAAAATGTGAAACCACTAAAAAGAGAAAACCAACAGCCTGATTTTTTTTTTTTGAAGAGTATATTGAATAATCATCTCCTAAGGGAGCTACCATTTGATTTTTATGGGGGGGGGGGGGGGCTAGGATGAAATTTGAAAAAAATAGGCAGGACAGGAGTTTTGAGTAAAAAAAAAGGCAGGATGACAATTTATGTAAAAAAAGTCAGGATAAACTAATAAAAAAAAATGCAGGACCGAATAGAGTGAAAAATAAAAAGGCAGGACAGAGATTTCAACTAAAAAAAAATGCAGGACAAAATTGTTCATCCTAGCCCCCCCATAAAAATCAAATGGTAGCTCCCTAATTAAGTTACGAAAACTGGGATAAAGCATACAGAAGTTTGGCCTTTATTATGTACAACAGGAGTCACTCAGTCAATCAGTCACTTGAGGAAAGAAATTCTAAACTAAAGGCCTGCATTGTTTAAATGCGTTAATAAAAGCTGTTCAAGTTAAATTTCACATTATGACTTTTTTTTTATAAAAGCACAGGACTTAGGTCTCACAAAATTCGATTTAAGGGATTATCTTTAAACTATATTTGACAGATACATGAGGAAGTTTGAAAATAAACTCTTGCTTTATTCTTTTCTGGGAAACAATGATAAATGTTTCTTTTAACAATGTAATTACATGTATGAATAGCAGTATCAGTGGGGTTTTTTTTAGTTTTTTTTTTAATAATAAAGCAATTATTTAAAATGTTTGTAACAACTACATTAAAACATGCGTGTTTTATTAATAGTGTCATTTCAATGTGTTTTACACCATAATTTTACAGCAATATTCTGTAAACAGACTTTACAGGACTTATTTATCATTCAAGCATGTTTTTATTTATTGTTTTATGATTTTAAAAAGTAATCTTATAGTTTCTCTTCAAAATACTTTTTTTTTCTTTCAAGGTATGAACAAATATGAACTTTTACTGGTGTACTGTATAAAAATATATTAAAAAGTAGCACACAAATGCAATAATATGTAAACAAGAAACATTTAAATAAATCTTAAAATCATGCATGTACTGGTACTGAGCTAATGAATAAATTCCTTTCATGTTGGTAAAAATTTGATAGAAAATGATTTTTAATCCAAAATATCAGTATTTACAATCAATTAAATATAATTTATTTAATTACAATATTATAGTACAGAGATATTACAGCAAGGGAATAATTTTTTTTCATCTGCATACATATTGTATTATTATTCTGACATCTAAAATGAACCAAATTAACAAATATTGATTGCTATTAAGTATCTACTTCATGTCTAAAACCTAACCTTAAAGTTACTACACATGGACATGTACATGTATCTAAACATAGCAATGTCAATTTAACCAAACAAAAAGCAATACAAGTATAGTTCTAGCAAGAATTTGCTTCATGTTTTTATGTCAGAAAGCATACCAACCTGTTGCTGTGGCCCTTTACCTCTTGATCCTCCACCCCCACTTGCCGCAGCCGCACTATCCTCTGGTCTTCGACTGGTCTGTTGCTGACTGGGACGACTAGATGTATTATTGCTTGGTTTAGTGGTTTCTTTAGGTTTATTATTACTTTTCATCTCAACTTCTTGGAATTCTTTTTTACGTGGTGTTGACGCAGCTGTCCTAGGAGTTGCAGCTGGTGTGGTTTTAGAATTCATTGTAGTTTGTTTCACGTTATTGTTGGTCACTGGTTTCACAGTGACCTTTTGGACAGTACTTGGCCTACTTGAGCCATCTTCTGCAGATGCACTACTTCCCATGGCAACTGATGCTGAAATTATGAAATGAAAATAAATGTTTTAGACATGTATATTTTTGTACATGATGTACTTGTAGGAAAGATAACACACCACAATATTCTCCCCACAGGGAATATTGAAATACCATCTTCATTTAGAAATATGATTTCTAATAACAAGATAAGATGTTATTTCAATTATAGCTTTACATGTATATCTATCATGTCTATAAGAAAATCATTTCAGATAGCACCACATTCAAGCAATATACATGTAGCATAACATTACCTTTGGAGAACACTGATCTAAAAATGTATGTATTGGAATAAAGAAAGGACACAGGATTTTTATTTTCACAACATTCAATTTTGAAAACTATAGTATGAAGAGCAGGACAGCATGTGATACCATGCATCAGGTTGAAAATTATAATTCCAAATAGGGATCTTGAACTTACATATGTATAAATCATTTCACTTAAGTTTCATCATTTCTATTCTTACATGTTAGATTTTAAATAAATATTTCTCAAACTTTCTACTTTTCTGCCAAAAAATAGTGGCCATGTTTATTGGAGGTATGGGAGGTCTTCCTCTTTCTGTAACTACGTGTATACAGTGTATATCATGTACATGTATATTACTGTTGGAATTTATGAACTGAGAACAGGACATCAAAGGCAAAGGGGAGTACAGTATACATATACATGTATTTTCAATCTACATGTATACATTTGTATGTAGCTAAATCAGAGGAACCTAGTCATGCTTGTCGGTGGTTGTTTTTAGTCATTCCTTTATTTGTCTTAATGTCTTTATTTAGCCTTTAAGGAACTTAGTGCTGACTGCACTTTTTTGACAGTCTCTGTTAAATTTATTCACTACTGGACTCTGGGACTGGGTGATATTGGGTTTGACATATTGTATGGACACCAGCTGCCTACTATTGAATTCCTACTGAAGGTCGGTGGTTCTCTCCGGCTTCCTCCACCAATAAAAACTTACCACCACGAAATAGCACAATAGTGGTGAAAGTGGCATTAAACACCAAACAATCAATCAATCAATCTACTATTGAAAACATCTGTTGACCTCTACATGTAACTGTCTTTTCATTTTTTGCAATTTTAGTTTGCTGTCTAATTGAAGTACACAACATTTTTAAATGACATCCTCAGTCAATATCAATCAAAGTTCTTGAAAAGTGTCAGTCCTGATCGCCTCAGTTGACAATGTTTTCTCAGGGTAACAATCTGCTCTATTACCCTCTCAGCTATGTGTTATTTATATAATGTCTAATTCATGTATATTTTGTTACCATGCATGTCTGACACAAGTGAATGATTTTTTCAAGCAATGAATTAAGGAACTGGACTGAGAATGATGAAAATATAATTTGGCCCAACAAATTTTTAAATAGTTTCAGTACATACATTTTGTACATGTACATGTACATGTGTTTGTCCAGTAAGACAACTTTGGAGAAATTTGATATATGTAATTTGTTTATAAATTTATGATTCTTTGTATCATTTAAAACTACCTGTATGAAATACTAGTAAGTGTTTTGTGCTATTTTAATTATAGATGTTTACATCAACTTCATATTTATAAGGGTCATTTAATAACATTTAGATCTAAAATAAAATGAAATAGTTGATGATATGCCAACATAAATATTTTACTTATAAAACAGATACTGTGAACAACTAATGTTCTTGTGTGACCAACAAATGTTCTTGTGTAACCAACAATTGTTCTTGTGTAATCAACATGCACAAATGTTGGGGTTATAAGAACATTTAGAAGATTGTTTCTGATTGATATAAATTAAAGTGTCAGTTCAAAATATCCAAAGATTTTTATGAATTAAAAAAAAATATATGTAAAATTAACATGTATGCATGGGTTTCAGTAAATGCATACATGCATTCAGAAAATTAAAAAACAGACAAACATGTTCTTTGCTGTACAATGCACAACCTTATTAATTTTTTTATTATTATTTAAAGGAAAAAAAAGACATTTCATACAATATAATGTATTGACTATTGTTTGGCTTTGATAAAAATCACATAAACTAAAAATGCGTGAACCTGCAGAGACAATAACTTTTATTTGAATAAAAGTTTAGATCCTGAAAGTGTGTCCTTGCATTTTCTATTTTCTAGTAACAGCACAAAACGGTAAGCCACAAAACAAATATGACATTCCAATGTGGATCTTTTTAGCATGTGTCAGGACATCTTGAAAAGACAGCATAGTTCATTGTTCTGGGATAAAATAATACTGTATTATGTGTAGTTCTGTGAAATTATCATTTCAAATAAAAACAAATAGTTATCAGTCCAGAGTTCTACCAATTAATCAAAAACTCTCTACCTACATGTATCTGTCATGTCTTTAAATTGAAATTATCCACAATGTGCATTTGTATTATGTATGTTGGAAGACATTCATTTCAAACATGTTATTTCAAGTTAATAAGCAACCTAAAGTTACCATCAAATACAGTAAATATCTATCTAAAGTTTCAAACATCCACACAGAGTATCTAAAGATTAATTCAAATTTAAAGATAAATTTTTGTTCATATATAATTTTCATCATATACTCCGCGCATGTAACAGTTCGTAATCTTCAATATAAATGAAGCTGTAACTGTATACCAGAAGAAGAAGAGATATGATAATTAAGCAGTCTGTTAATTTAAACACATTATTATAATTATCAGTGATTATACTATTACTAATTTCATTAGAACTTACCATAAATTAGATTTATCTATCAAAATAGTCAAATGATCACATGTTTTTACTCATTCAAATCAAGTTGAACTAAATAAAGCTTCCTGTCAAATTATATTCCAATATTCCAACACCTTTATACAAATCAGTAAGAATAGAATTTCAGACTTGTGTATTGCTGCAATTAGTATTTCCTTTTCCTAATTCAATAAAGAAACCAACAATTCCATTATATATCCGAACACTTAAGGATAGCCACGAATAACATATTCTTTACATTAAAAACTTTAATTATTGAACACCAATGTGTACCGGTCACTGGGCCATGTAATTTTTACGTCATCACAAATCAACTTAAAACACGAAATCAAACGATCGATAGTTTAAAAACTGTTTGATCTACTCGATACTGTCTGTATATCAGCTTTACGTCATTAGTATAAATGCTATACATGATTGGTTTGGTATTTTCTGAGTGTGTCTATTGGTTCATTGATAGCTTTCATTTCTTGCTACCTAGCAAATGTAAACAATTAATGGTCTTGGTCTTTCGTCTGTTTAAAAAGAACGAACGGAAAAGTCAAGCCTTTTTTTAACGTCGATTAAACAGGTGTTTTTCATTTAAAACGATGCTTATGCTATTTTATTTATTACCATGTCTTTATAATCTTATGCACCATGTTCTATTCAATATTTCAAACATTCTTGACTCTCCTGTTTAATGATATATTTAAAATCTTCACAACATCGGACCTGATAAGAGATAGATACGGATAGCAACATCCCGCCAAATTTGTACATGAGTTAAGTAACTTGACCCGCGCTAAATTCCCCATAGAGTTATATTTCTTTTATAACACTGAATTAATAATTTATATATTCAAAGCTTACCCAGAGGTCTAAATGGACTGTTTACGTGGCCACATTGTATTAATGTGTTGCTTTTTATTTTTTGGGGGTTTGAGCAATTCTTCACGTTTTTTTCTAAAATCATAGTAAAATAGTTGGTGCTCACTCTAAAAATGAAATTTATGATAATCAGGAAATGGAGAAACTATCTTTTTTTCTTGGACTTATACATGACTTTACGTATAACTGTTGGTCCGATTTTTTACATGATAATTTCAGTTATTTAAAAAAATGCTGACAAAATTCTAAATCTCTTGAAATAAATTCATAACTATTAAAAAAAAAAAGTAAATAATTTTATATTACAATTATTTACATTCAATTCTTAATCCAGGTGTTGCGCTTGTGACTAAAAAGAACAAGATACTAATTTGAAAATACCTGTATTCACTTTTCTGAAAGATTCATATTCAACGTCCAAAACTAGTGAACGGGAATAGCTGAGGGTGTGGATGGGATTTACAGAATAGAGAATAATGGCCAAAAAACAATAAAGAATAGAGAAAAATGAGGCAAAAAGTAAAGATTAGAGAATAATGGGGTGCTAAAATATAAAGAATAACTGCAAAAATTAAAGAATTGGGTATAATATACTGATTACAGAAAAGAACAATATCCAGAATACAGTTACCAAGTAATCACAGAAAAGCAATTATTTTTTAAAGATAAAGAATAATGAGCGAAAAAAATAAAGAATACAGAAATGAAGGACCCCCCATCCATACCCTCATAGCTGTCTGCAGCAGGTAAAACTCACGGTAAATCTTCGTTATCAAACTTTGCCTGAATTTATACTTCATAATTTACCTTTGGAGATAATCAGATAATCTTAAATTAATAGGCCTAGTCAACTATGGTATCACGATAAAAGTCCAACGAGGGTCTCATATAAATATTTATGATAAGCCAAGAGTTGACACATTGAAATGTCTCGTCTGCTAAAATATATTAAAACATTTCAAAGGTCTCTGAACTCTGAAAACTGGAGTCAATGTCAACTGACCCACGAGTCAGTACCTTCGTTCGTCAGTGTGTTCTTCTGTTCGTCCGTACGTCCAATGAAATTTTCTTACAACTTTTTTCTCAGGAACTACGGGTATAAGAACTACCTGAAATTTGGTATTAAGCTTCGTGTGAGCATGCTATACTATTTGATGCGTTTTCACGTTCATCGCTCATCAACTTAATTCCTGTTAATCATATGCTTATGTCTTTTACACATGATGGCAACATAGGATGAAATTTTCGTCGCATCTTTCTCTGCAAGTACGAGACAGAGCCTCCTAATCAGTTTTTATATCAAGTTTCATATCATACTGATGAGCATCGGATTTATGCAATGTTACCTTCATATTGAAATATTAGGTGCAAGATCGGTTGCCTTGTGGCATACGTAAACCCCACGGCATGTATTTCATACAAATTCTGGACGAAGACATACCAACAATACATATAATAGCTATAGCATATATAGGTAGGTTCTGCAAGATGAGATGAAACCCCTGAAATTTGGAACGGTAAAATATGGTAATGTTGAACAGGGGCTAAAATCTTGCCTGGAATCTGGGCACCCGCGAATCCCTCGAAGAGTTTCGTTGCAAGGGTTCTTTAATTTGCAAAGAGTGTGGCACTCCGAGTGGTTGTTTTCCCAGCTACATTGATATCGGACATAACGAAATTCCGACCGGACATGAATGCACATTTATACATTCCACCCAGGCTAACGGACGTTTCTCTATGACAGGGGTGTTACTACCGGCTGGATAAATTCCAGTTGACGACCATTTCTATATATATATACCCTGGGACTATTATACTAAACTCAATATATTATGTCCCAGATATACCACAGTCATTTATTACCCATTTTTGTGGATTTTACTTTTTATCCTGAAAACTATGATAAATCAACATAATCAGCATTTTAAAAGGTCTACATATAATTCAATTGATGTATATTGTCAATTGACACCGTATCGGAGTTATTGCAGAAATGCCGGTTTTTTAATATTTTTTTCTAATATTGGCTGTTATCTTGAATTTTTTTTTATAAATAGATAGAAACTGAACGAGGCAAAACGTGATCTATACATATAGTCAAGATGTCAGAAATCCTTATGGACTCCTTATACCCTTAAAAAAAATGACAATTGTTACCTTTTTTGGTGTTTTTTGGCTATTGTCGAGAAAAGTGTAATAGTCTTACAGAAAATGTAAAATGCAAAAATGACCGAGACAAGATATACAAAAAGTAATAGGACAAAAATTTTAAATGGACTTTTTATTGGAGTTATTGTTTATTTTTTAGGTCTGGTTATTATCTCGAAAATTAATTAGATAGACAGAAAGCAATGATGACCAGCAAGACAAGGTCTATCAATAGGTCAACATAATAGAAAAGAAACGGGATATAGGGTATCCATCCATTACACAAAACCAATACACGCACAGCAAAAAACACAAAAAGCAAAGGAACAACGTTTTTATTGCTGTTTTTCATTTCAAAGTCCTCGTGAGGCCTTCCAAACGGAACAAAAACTCTCACATCACTGCAAGTTGATACATCCCTAATGACGGAAATATCAATTGACTTCATAAAGGAGTTAGTGCCCTTAAATTACTAATAATTGTGTACACTGTTTAGCCATTATCTTGAAAAGTATAGTAGACAATATTTGAAACTGTACACAGAACAAAATGAACTCAATCTCGTTCTTTCCCCAGAATGAAGTGAGCTATGCATGTTCCACTTAAGAGCCTCTAGCTATCATAGATTGCTCAGTGCATTTTAATAATGAAAGCCCTTGAGACTGGTTCTGTTCGACAATCCAAGTAAATGACAGGTCGAAAATACCCAGGCGGAAACCCAGTTGAAATAGAACAAAAGAATCGAAGCTCTTTGTTAGAGAAGGCGATAAATGCTTACTGTAATGTTTACTGTAGTAACACACATTTTAAAAGTTAATAGAAACAAATAAAATGACAGTTTTTTGCTAAATTACGAAATATTTTATCATAAAAACACAATTTGCATAAGTTTTCAATTTATCTATTACATAATTAGCAGAACAATTAGATATCAAGTCGACGACATGATGTCTATTAAGTTGGATCAAAAAAATGCATAACCTCCGATTTTTCAAAAAAATTTACCACGGACGGAGAACAAATCGATCTATTTGTTCCTTAATTTTCGTTTCTGCCCTTCCATTATGTGACTCAAGAAAAAAATCCAAAAAATGAGAAAATCGAGTGCACCTTTTTATGTTGGGGCGTGTTTGAGTTGAATATTTTGTCTTGAAAACGTAAAAAGGCAAAAGTATTTGATACATCATCTCGCTTCAGATTCTATCATTTTTATATATCAAGGCTACAGGTTGACTTTATAACATCGAAAATTCACAGTACTAAAAAAATGAAATATATAGGTCAAGTGAAATACCTTTCTAATGAATCACAAAAACAGAGTAGGTGTGTTCGAATAGCAAATTTTTACTAAAAGTACTTGACGACAGACTTTAAGTTGGATCTTAAAAATGCATATCTTCGAAAAAACTTCATTTTTTGTGTGTCATATCTAGGGTTTATAGTCTTCAACCACTGAAAATTTTTAGTCTGCCCTTCCACGAAATATTGAATTAGAATTTTTTTAAATGTTTATGAATTTTCGAAAATTCCACCTGACAACCGATCAGACAATAGTTTTAAGTTGACTGAATGCAGACAAGTACATTAACTGATGCTCATTAGCTAGTAGATACATTTGTCTTTTAAAATATAACTGGCATATAAGGATCGTAATGGTGCTATGCGGATAATTTTATCGGTTTTCAAGAGCTAAATTGGCAGCGCGTCATCCCTACAATGGCTTCCATTTTTACGATTGTAAAAATGAACTGGCGTAATGGGGAGATAATTTTGACGAAGTAGAATCCTGACTGTACCGATGATCAGCTATGTTCCAGGAGAATCATAAAATGATTGCAATTCAATACACGACCGATACGTGACGAGGCAGAAGTATCAAGACAGTTGTACCAATGACTTTTATCGTGTGTACGGGCTGTTTTTGTTTTTTTGTTTTATTTATTTATCTTTGTGTTTTTTTTTACCAATTCTTGTACAAGTGCTAGCTTCATAAAAACCTCATCCGAAATGCTTAGATGGTGATGATGCATGGCTGTTTAGTGTCCAATGGCAAATTAAATGCATATTCAGGACGACTGGAAAATGTTTAGGTAATACCGGGGTATGATTGTTAATCATGCTTTGTACTAGACGACACGCTGAGCCGGATGGTTAGCGTGCTACTTCACAAGGTAACAGTTCACAGGAAGACGTGTCACGCTACCCGGACACATTATTCTGACTCCTAGTCGACCAGTCTTTGCTCTTACTCCTTAATGCATATGACAATACGATTTTGAACTATTATTTAGTTCTGCTTTTTAATGAAATTTATACCTGTACAGATAAATGACAAATAAAAGATATTTTTTTTTTTAATCAACTGTTTTAGGAGAACCAGAAAATACAAATCCAAAGGACGACAATACACGATTAAGACATGCCGAACAAATTAGAAGAATAAAGACAAGTATACTGAATTGAGGACTTTCAGATTATTGTTTATTTTGCGGTCAAATAGACATTTATCCCATATCTTTCGTTTTCACATTTCAAATTTGATGATACGGTACTTAGAATTTTGACGAAAAATGAAAGGTAAAAAAAATGCTTCTGTTTGAAGTACATCAGAAGAAATTGACACTATCTCTTAATTCAAAACTTGTCTAGATGTTTACATATTATACTATAGATACTTGTTAATTGTTGTAGGCTTGTATACCATAATTATGAACTCTAGATCGGACTTTTGTTTTATTGTGTTGTTTGTTGATCTTTGTTGGTGGCTACAGATATCGACATGTGTGCATATATATACATATCCCAATAGCATCAGTTCGAATCCCGGCGAGGGAAGAACAAAAATTTGCTTCCGCAAATTTGCAGATTTAACATTGTTGTGCTGATATTTAGAGTAATTATACATATATATATATATTTACTGGCCTTTTTAACCTTTAACAATTCCATAAGTGTTGACTATGATTTTTGCCAGATTATTCAATATTTGTCTAGGATCGAGACGATTTAGAAATTGACATATTATGTTCACAATAAACTATTACTTAATGTGAATAACATGAGTTGAGAGGTATGTATACTTGAGACAACAACGCAACCACACATAAAACAAAAAAAGACATCTAAAAAATGTATTTTGAGCACTTGATGTCTAACCTGGGTTTGTTTTGGTGGTGGATGCAGTTGCAATGATTTACACACCAAATTTAAAAGAATAAAACCTCAAATTGTATACTTGTATATTCTTCTAGTGAAATGCTTCAATTTCAAATTCGACATTTTATGCGTCATCAGTAATACATGATTTCAAATATTACAATCAATTGTAAGTTAAGTCTTGCTTACATTTACTCATTGTTGCAAAGAAGCTACTACTAGTATTTAAATGTTGCATTATTTCGGATAGTTAAATATTAACACAAATTCCACAGCCATATTGGAAATGTTGATTTATTTATTTGCAATAAATCTCATAGTGAAAAAAATTTCAAGACGATGAACCAAAAACTTATTCAAATTGCACCAGCTATTGATTTGGTGAGATTTTTAATAAGAATTACTCACTGATTGTTTTTTTTTTCTGCAATGATGGGCATCTTTGTCAGTAAGCGACAGCAGTATTGGTAGTATACTTGAAAGGCGCTACTTAAGGACCATTTCACCAACATTTATTCATTATAATTGCATAAATTCAGATTAAATTGATTATATGCATTTGACCTAAACAGGTATGATAGTATGTCGGCGGGCCAGTGGAACTATGCATTTTCCTTAATATATATACATATACTGCCACTAAGTGGCGGACTCATAATAAATCTGTATTATAGGACATTCACATGCATGCAGAAAATGAAAATGTTTTATTTCGAGCAAACCACACAGGTAATTTCTCTCCCTTGAACATACGGGGGACATTTTAAACTTCCACAAATCGCTTCCACCGGATATAATTCAGCTTGGCTACTGCCATATGCATGACCACTTGTTTCCAACTTTCCATCAACGCAAATATATTCTGTCGGAGTTCTGCTGCTGGTGCTCATATGAGACATGAGATATCCAGAAAATTCGTTATGCCAGCCTTCTTGGCAGGTACGTTTTGCCGGAACCATAAGAACCGAAGACCTCTTGGCAAGACATACCGCGCATGGTGTAATCTTGCTGTGTAAATTTTTTGGATACGGTGTGTTTTCTGATATTTCATATTCAACGCCATACAAAAGACCCTTTTCGCCGTTCTTTCCATCTACATACTCATTCCATTCTGGATTTTTTGGTAAGCACAAATAGTTAGCCCCAGATCCTTTATCTCCATAATGTTTCCCGGAAGCAATACCTACAAAACGAACTAGGTTACGACACATTCTAGATTTTTTAATAGCGAATTTCCATGCTTGTATATTATCTGAGACTAATATAACTCATATAGTCATATTGTTATAGTAGTCTCAGATGACAATCAAAGTTAACATATTTAGCCCCGCCACATTCTATATGTGGCAGTCCCAAGTCAGAAGCCTGTAGTTCAGTGGTTGTCGTTGGTTCATATCTGTCATATTTGCTTTTCGTAAATTGTTTTGTTATATTAAAGGCCGTTAGTTTTCTCAATTGCATTGTTTTTATATTTTTCATGTCGGGGCCTTTGATAGCCGACTATACGGTATGGATTTTTCTCATTGTTGAAGGCCGTACGGTTGCCTATAATTTCTTACATCCACTTCGATTTACCTTTGATGGATAGTTGTCTCATTGGCAATCATACCACATCTCCTTATTTTTATAAAGTAAATTGTTGATCTGAGTACTTTCCGGATGAACATGAAACACCTGTTCGTGTTTATTCATGGTACGTCTGTCATTCGAAAATGTTGCTACTTTCATATGAGGCTCGTATTAAGTCAAAGTTATTGTATTTAAGAAGATCCTGAAATATTTCAGGACCTCCATAATTCGATTTTGGGATTTTATGAAATATTTGTAGGACCTCCACAATTCGATTTCAGGATATCCTGGTATTATGAATGTTTTGAGTAGTACTGTTAATCATGTCAAAGTTACAAATGAGGCATCAATATTAAAGTGGTTTACCTTCTTCTCCAGTTATATTCACGATGTGCCAGTCAAGGGATAATAAAAAAATCGAAATTTGCGAATCATCTTTTAGTTATATGTAGCTTTGTTATGACATTTATATTGTCGGTGAATCTCGAAATGCATAATGATAAGCGTGTCGACACACATGCACACACACAAACATGCAGAGGGATGTGGAAACGCTTATTTTGAATACACAAACATATATGATTATGTTTATTATGCATCAAAATACGCGTTTCTCAATCTTTTAACAGTCAGAAGGGATAGTTTATTAGTGTATCAGGAACAATAACGTTTCTGCTTTTGATGTGACGATACACAAGGCTCACTTATAATTATAATACCAAAAAACAATAACGATATGTAAAGTCAAAAGACGAAACAAATACATCAACATCAACATCTCTCCCTCTCTCAAGAACATTTATATACAGACAAAAACAACGAAAAGATATTTTCATAAAACGTAAATAAATTACCATCGTTCACAATGGTCGCTCCTTCTGGACATACCGTTCTCCCCCACCTAACATAGGTACCCCTTGGACTACCTGAAAATAAACAAACGTAAAGGTCAAACATGGATTCAATTATCCTCTATTTTGAATGCACAATTGCACATTGCCAATTTTTCAGATGTCCAAATATTTGGTCGCTGATTCTGAAACATCTTACATTTTAATGACGATTTTCACATAAGGTAAAATTAGAGTATTTCGCCATCTTGCATGCTTGGATCACCAATGACTGCAAATGATCGGTATAGGTTCTTACTGAAATAAGCAAATAACAAGGATAGCAACGTAGCAGAATGCAGGCAAATACGGTAAATAAATGCCTCACTTTTGAAATGACGATCAAACTTGAGAAACATTTTTTTGTGTGCAAAATTTTGTATTTTAGATTATTAAAATGCGAGATACAAGCAACATCGGGCTTTCAAGTTTTATTCGGCCGCAACGATATGAACTTTACCCACATGCAGCGGTCTCAAGTAGACATGTAAGTACGGGTATTTCGAATACCGTTCCTGTGGAAAACTAAATATAGCTTGCTTAAGAATGATTCTTTAAAGAGAAAAAATTAAGACTCTACCATTAGACAAATTACTTCCTGTAAAAAAAAGGTATGCAATACGTGAACCTGATTAGCTGTTTTAAACATTTGAGAGTGATTCCTAGTTCAGGAAGAATTAGTTATGTTATAAAGAGAGGCGAAAGATACCAAAGGGACATTCAAATCCATAAATCGAAAATAAACTGACAACGCGATGGCAAAAAAAGAAAAAGACCAAAAGACAAACAACAGTATACAAAATACAACCGTTACATAGAAAATTAAAAGCAGAGCAACACGAACCCCACCAAAAACCGGGAATGATCGCAGATGCTCCGGAAGGGTAAGCAGATTCTGCTTCATATGTGGCAACCGTCGTGTTGCTCATATAAGTACAAACCCGGTGATAAGTCTAATTTGATTTAAGGTCACATTCGGAAAAAAAGGACGAGATTGTGGTTACGACGATTGGAACATATCTGTCGTCATCTGTGAAACAGATATTCCACAACAGTCAACCAACTCGTTAAATGAAGACATTTATTGAAACATGTATTCATTTTCAAGTGTACGACAGCTTGAAAAGTATTGCTTAAAACCCTTACCTGCATGTATTCTCATTTTGTTAATCAGAAACTTAAAGCAATTTGTAGGCCAATCAAACTACTCGTTTGATACTGATAGTCGGAATTCATATTCAGTAAACGTTTGATCACAACTATGTATTGCACAGGGAAGTTCAATATAACTTTTCAATCTATAGAAACAGTTTAAAACACCAATTTTTTACTTTAACCAGCTTGTTTGCTCGAACAAATTCGCCTTGATATCCTATCTATTGCTTTTGGAAAATTGTTACACGATTGTTTAACAGTTAGAAATTGAACAGACCCGGTGACTGCTAGATTGAGACGATTTTAACATTTAGGTAAATGCTTTGTTACTATGTTGTCCTATTTTGCGCTTATGAATACAGGATTTGTTATTTGTACAGTCAACGAAGCTATGGCGACATAGCGATCACTAAATGTTAATCTGAAATTTGATAGTTATGGTCACCGAAGAATCGGAAGGTTTAGCAGAATATAGATTAGTTTTCAGATTGACGCCTGACAGTTAGTTATATCATTTCTTGCAACTATTAGTTAGAAATAAAAAAAAAAACATTATTTCTGTTATTTCATTTTTGTTCCTGCTTATAAATTCACCAAACATTCCATTAAGTCCTGTCAGCAAAACGTAAGTTTATTGTTCGATATAACGAAAAAATTCCGTTCCGCTGAGGACACATCCGACCTCAATTCTTTAGAAGTAGATTCGGCCGCGAAATATATGTAGAAATGCGATTTATCACGATTTCATCTTGTGTTAATATCATTTTTACAAACACAGAATTTCTTTTTAGTCAAATAATAAAAATATTGGAACTTTGTTCACAAACTAAATAAAAGTAAGAAGGACTTTTATGTAAAGTTTGTGAGTCAGTGGCCTTGCTTACTCATCAATTATTTCTAAAAAAAATATATATGTGTTTAATCCTCATAATACTCCACCCAATTGGGTGAAATACAAAGTATTTGCAAATACTTTGTATTTCAGTTTGCTTTCAATTTCAATTTTCTTGGAACCTCAGGATTCCATCCTCGTGTGTATTACGCATATCATAGTAAACATGGTCCATTGAAGTGTAAAAGGGTTAGAATTATAACGGACATGTGAATCACATTCAAGCAGAGACATATAATACAGTATTATATGTCTCTGATTCAAGTATTTGTAGATATGCAAATCAAATAAGAATTATACAAAGTTGAATTTTAATTTAATTCTTTGTACTTCGGACAAATTCAGAAAATGTTCCGTACCTAATAAATGTATTACAGCAACTAGCGAATTATATTTCAGAACCTCCTCTGGGCTGACATCCGTTATAGATTGTTGTCTTTATTTTTGGATGATTTTCGTATTCTTTTAAATACTATAAATTTCTTATAAATCCATTATGATTGCAGTTCTGAGCCATCTTTAGACCTTCGTAAATTGGTCACAATGTCGTCAATAACTGAAAGTACACACATGTGAAGTTGTGCTACTGATCATTTTAGTAAAAGATGAAAGATTTTGTAATAAGGACCTAGATTTGAAATATTATAACCCCGTAAATTTCGGTACGGGTTACATTAAAGTTTGTTAGTCTATAATTGACACTGTTGCTGCTTTAAACGCAAGATCGTATACAATATATACAAATTTATTCACACAAGTTTACAGCTTGAAAGCTAGGGGAAGACTGCCCAAGCAACAGTTTACAAAAAAATCAACATTCGTTAAAAGTTAATCTTCTTAAAAACGTACTAAGTGTTCTGATAAAATATAAATTATGATTGTCCAATCTTATGTGATTTATTGTGGGATAATTACACAAAGATAAGCAAACGTCACAAAATACAAACAATCAACAGGACATGTATGATGTCGAAAGAATAATTAAGTGTATAGAAAAACAGGCAACACGAAACAATACCTTATTAAATGGCGAGGGTACAGTAGTTCGCAAAGTACATGGGAACCATCCCACCACATGCCAAATCATTTGATTCAACATTTTCATGCTCAGAGTCAAAGTAAAAATAAGCGAAAACGGCAATGATTTAATTGAAAATAAAACCAGGCCAAGCCTATTTTTCAGTACATGGTTTTATCGAGTCTAGTTAATCAACTCAAAAAGAAAAGTTTATTTTCGTTTTTTCATTTTCATATTAAGAATGTATTTATTCAGAAAACTTCATTATTCTAAGGTGAATATTAACTGTTCTAAATATGTCTGAGATATTTGCCTCTGTCATTAAGATACCAAGCAATAAATCGAGCTAAAGTCTGTGTATCCTTGTTGTATCACATGACCATGTGTTTTACACAAGTGAAGGTTGTAACTCTGAACAAAGATCACTGACAGTAGTATACCAAATAACCAGAGCTCTATCCTCTACCAAATAACCACAATTGTTTTAGTTGTCGTTATTTTATCTTTTCACACAACATGCTATATGTAGGTGAATTTACACGTGTAGGCTTTCATATACATCGATTATTATTGGTAACAAAATCATTTTATAATACAATTTTGGGCCGAAACAAGGGTACAAGATGGACTCGTCACCTGCCTTGTGGTCTTGTTTCAATTGTGGGTACAGGAGTGACGACCTGTATACTGCATGTCAGAAATATGCATATGTTTGAAGAAAACCTGTTTACAAGGTACAAGTATAGCCACTGATAATCTGATAATCGGTTCAAATTCTTGATAGTGTTTTCGAAAAGTACGTAAAAGTGTAATTTTTGTTAGGATCATAAACGGGCCAATGATCATTATTGCCCCCCCCCTTTTTTTCCCCTAATTCCTTGAATACTTAGTCCTATTCCTAGCTTTATGATTGTAATAAAAGCAGCCCCTTTGTTGTTTTATATATCTATACATATAATGGAGACATGTTCTTTTGAATTAAGAAGTGGTAATGAATATTTTTAGTATATTAATGTTTGTCCTCTCCTCATACCCCCACCTTCCTTGTATATTTATTAAAATGTCCAAAATGTGCATTTTCTATGTTCGTGATGTCTTCAGTATGTTCTGGGACTATTATACTAATATAGTATAGTATTAGTATAATAGTCCCAGGTATGTTTCACGCTTTCAGCAACCAGAAAAAAATACCCATAGAAGGATGATATAGTTCTGTTTGGGGAAGTAGTGAAGACTATAACCGGAAGAAAAGTGACGTTAGGAACTTTTACTATAATTCGCAAAGTGCTTTATGTGAACTCTCGTTTTAGATTGAATATTTCTTGTTTTAAATGTTTTTTTATTTTTAAATATAATGTTTCTTTATTTCAAATACCCAAATAGATTATAGATTTCAGTAATTTACAACTTAATCCGATGGCAGTTAAAAGTGCGAAAGATAATACGTCTAGGTTAGTCTATGAACAGGTATATACTATGAAATTAAGAGCGAGGGGCTTGCCCCGAGCTCTTAATTTCATAGTATATACCTTTTCATAGATTATCCAATTTAGCACATATTTACAACTCGAGTAATCTTTTAATTGATCTATTGATAGTTTATTTTGGCTGACTACTTATAGGTTAGATAATACTTGGTCGTGTTTTATGAATATTTAAAATCCGAGGCGTAGCCGAGGGTTTTAAAAGTTCATAAAACATGACCAAGTATTGTCTGACCAATTTAGAACATATTCACACATTCGAGTGACATAACAAAATTAGCTTCTCACTGTAATAATCAAACTTTGATATTAGTTCACTTAAAGTGTTAAAATGTTTAGATAAAGGGATGTTAATAATATAATGGTCATTTCAACAGATGGAGTGAAAGAGCAATGAGTTAGTGTTGTGATAAAAAAAGGATAAATTAGTCAAAATGGAAATTTCTTCTGCTTCAGGTACAATTTAATCTTATATATCTAAAATTCCTTCATTTTAGAAAGCACAAAATGTTATGTAAAATCCGCTTTTCTAAAATTGTATAATTTTTAATAAGGAAAATACTTTCATCAGCAGATTTTAATTTACAATCGTTTAAACATCAGATGCTTGCTTTTCTTTATTGACGAACTTCCTTTGATTTTTTTTATTAACATATTGTTTCTTACAATAAGGAGTTTGAGGTATGGTGTAAAAAATATATCAAATATTACATGTATTTTCCCTACACTTTTGCCCCCTTTTCATTTTTTTAGGGGTATATATATATACCATTAAATAACATTTACAATGTTGAAATATCAACTTATAATGCTTTTGTAGTTCTATTCTCGTGATTTCATTTATAATACCGGGTAATTAGACAAACAACAGTACTCAAGATTTTTTTCGTTTGCTCTTTTCCCGTGGACATTGCCTTGGGGAGTTGTACACTTCGTTAGTGCAATTTTTAAGAGTTTAAAAGTCATTCATGTGTAGAATTTTATAGTGCATGGAAAGCCATGTACTATGAAAAATAGAGGGGAAAATACTGATTTTCCATCGGACGAGAATGGGTGAGTATGTTCTGATTCTATCACAGGTGTTTGTAAAACGGGGCTCATTAACGATGTTTTGTAAATCTACTCACTAGTATCATGGTAAAATATGTGATTTCAAAAGGCCTTTGGTGCCAGAATGAAAAGATGGTAGCTGCTGATGTAAGTATGTTTATTGATAAAAAGCGGTGTTTTACTATACATGTACTTCTTTACATGGTAAGATGACAAAATAAATTGACCAAAAGCAGGCAATAATTAAATTGCAGTGGAAATTTTTCAATTTTACAGTAAAACAAAAGGGGGGGGTAAGGAGTTGGAAAACAAAATTGAGAATGGAAATGGGGAATGTGTCAAAACTGTCAACGTATATTTGTTCCGCCTAACAGAAGTTCCACTGGAAACTTTGTTATAAACAATGTCATAATAACTTTTCCTGTTGGAACAAATATTCTATACCATTTATTCCGTTAGGAACATATACTGTAATATTTATTCCTGTGGAAATAATATTCCAGAATATTTTTTCCTTTTGGAACTTATATTATGAAGGAACTTCTATTCCGTGACAAAGCGTCCTTCAGCTGGCCCCTAAACAAATATGTATGTATACTAGTTCAGTGATAATGGACGTCATACTAACTCCAAATTATACACAGGAAACTAAAATTAAAAATGATACAAGACTAACAAAGGCCAGAGGCTCCTGACTTGGGACAGGCGCAAAAATGCGGCGGGGTTAAACATGTTTTTTGAGATCTCAACCTTCCCCCTATACCTCTAGCCAATGTAGAAAAAACAAACGCACAACAGTACGTACAGTAAAACTCAGTATAAGAGAAGTCCGAGTCCGATGTCAGAAAAAGAAACAAAAGAAAATAAACAAAATGACAATAATACATAAATAACAACAGACTACTAGCAGTTACTGACATGCCAGCTCCAGACCTCAATTAAACTGATTAAAAGATTATGTCTTCATCAAAAACCCCTTTTTTTTGGACGATCAATGCTTTTAAATGGGGTCATATGGTTGGAACCCCCTTTTTAAAAATGGCTGGATCCGCCCCTGGTATGTCCCAATAGGTAGTCTAGCGGATAGTCATTAAAAAGCAACTACCAATAGATCAAAGATACTAGGGTTTATGTTGTTTTTTTTTTATTTCAAAATAAAAACTAAAAGATATATCAGAACATGTATATATATATATATATATATACATGTATATATATATAGGTGGCACATTCTCTTCAGACATTATCACGGTTTTTTAATTCATGACATCGTCCTGAACGTGCATGAAATATTTGCCAATGGACATTAAGCAACCAATAATCAAAATATCAATTCATGACGAAATAGATCAAGGTGCCTTAATTTCCCTTCACAAGATTTCATAGTACAGACTTTTTTGTGTACATAGTAATTGCATGGATGATAAATTATCTCAATTTTAAGATAGCGTTGTACTCCCCCTAATCAAGGTATAAAGAACCATATTTGTTACTCTTTATTTAAATGAAAGAAAGTTGCAATCGTCAAAAACATTTTTTAGATCCAAAGATTTTAACTGCAGAATATTTAAAAATCAATTTGAACTATTCAATTTAATTTGGAACACAGCATTTTATTTCAAAATAGCCAGTGGCAATTTTTGTTTTAATATCTTGATTACGATACAATGAAATCTTACCCTTGTGGTCAATCATGGGTAGTTACTTAGTATACGGAAAAAAGTATGTACTATAAAAATTAGAAGGCAAATTCAAGCAATTTGATTGGACGAGAAGTTGTAAGTATGTGCTAAATGTATCTTAGCACATATTTACAACTTCTCGTCCAATCAAATAGCTTATATTTGCCTTCTAATTTTCATAGTACATACTTTTCCCGTGTACTAAGTAACTACGCATGAATGACCACAAGGGTAAGATTTCATTGTATCGTAATCAATTTTCACGTTGATTTTTAAATATCCTGCTATAAAATTTTTGGATCTAAAAAATGTTTTTGACAATTGCAAATTTCTTTCATTTAAATAAAGGGTAATACATATGGTTCTTTATACCTTGATAAGAGTACAACGATATCTTAAAATTATGATAATGTATCATCCATGCAATTACTTTGTACACAAAAAAGTGTGTACTATGAAACCTTGTGAAGGGAAATTAAATCAACTTGGTGATAATTTTTTAAACTTTCTTAAGGAAGGTGATCTATTTCGTCATGAATTGATTGCTTTATTAATTATTGGTTGCTTAATTTCCAGTGGCAAATATTTCATGCATGTTCAGGACGATGTCATGAATTGAAAAACTGTGATTATGTCTGAAGATAATGTGCCACCTATATATAAACATATTCTGATAAATCTTTGTTTTAACTTTGAAATAATAAAAAAAAAAAAAAAAAAAAACACAAAACCTATAATCTCTGATCAATTGGTAGTTGCTTTTAAATGCCTATCTGCTAGACTATATCTATAGGGACAAACTATCTATATGTTTCAAATTGATTATAGCTTTAGTTTTACTGTGAAATTAAAAAATGTTTTCAAAACATGTAATTTAAAAGCTTCCACTGCAATTTAATTATTGCCTGCTTTTGGTAAATTTATTTGGTCATCTTACCATGTAAGAAGAACATGTATAGTAAAACACCGCTTTATATCAATATACATACTTACACCAACAGCTACCATCTTTTCATTCTGGAGTCAAGGGCCTTTTGAAATCACATATTTTACAATGATACTAGTGAGTAGATTTACAAAACTTCGTTAATGAGCTCCGTTTTACAAACACCTGTGATACAAGTAGTCAGCCAAAATAAACTATCAATAGACCAATTAAAAGATTACTCGAGTTGAAAATATGTGCTAAATTGGATAGTCTATGAAAAGGTATATACTATGAAATTAAGAGCTCGGGGCAAGCCCCTCGATCTAAATTTCATAGTATATACCTTTCCATAGACTAACCTAGACTTACACTCAACTACAAAAGAAGCAGTCATCGCTATTTTACTAAGTTTAGCCGGAGGATAATAATCCGATTATTATTGCATAAGATTGGACAATGATAGATATATTTTATCTAAAATTCCAGCTCCTTTGTTCTACCAGGGATGATCTGAGCCGGATCACCCCTACCAGATCACCCTAGCTTGAGTTTCTTTGTTCTGTTACATTTTGGCGGGAATGTCAAATCCACAATAAAACTTTAGACATATTTATAGGGAAAGACTAACTCAAAATTTATGTTGAAAAAATTCCAGTGTATATGCTGGGAATCGAACTCAAGACCTTTAGCATATAGACCCACGAGTCATACCCCTACACCAGAACGACTGGATACAAATAATCAATGTTAATTTAAGATAAACATTGTGCCCGGGGCTCATACAGGGTATATACTATATAGTATTATATAAAGTATATTATAATGATAGTGTGGCGTTTTAAACTAGATTTTATGAAGCGTAAATGGTTTTTTATCTAATCCAGTACAGCTGGATGTAAAATAGTTATCCCATTCGGACTTGGTGTGTCATCGGGATGATCTTACACTGACCGTAGTATTATATTGTCACTATAATACTTCCATGCACTGACCATTTGAATTAACAGGGAGTTTGTATCCAGTCGTCCTGGTGTAGAGGTATGAATCGTGGCTTCATATGCTTAATGTATTGAGTTCGATTCCCCGCATATATACGCTGGAAATATAGTGGATTTTTTCTACATAAATTTTGAAAGTTAGTCTTTATTCCGAATAAATAATTCTAAGTTTTATTGTGTGTTCGACATTCCCGCCAAAATGTAACAGAACAAAAGAAAGCATGCAGATCAAAAAAACTCAGGTAGGGTGATCTGGTAGGGGTGATCCGACTCAGATCACCCCTGTTAGAACAAAGTAGTTGGGATGTATTGTTTTTAGATCCTTAACTGTGAATTAATGTATAATTGTTCTGTAAACTGTTACTTGGGCAGTCTTTCCCTAGATTTCAAGCTGTAAACTTGTGTTAATAAATGTGTTTATATTGTATACGGTCTTGCGTTTAAAGCCGCCACAGTGTCGATTATAGACCAACAGACTTTAATGTAACCCGTACCGAAATTTAACGGGTTATAATAACTCTATTGTTATATTTCCTAGTTCCATCTTCTTCAAAAACAGAATTCATAAAATGAAAGATAGACCACCAATTAAATTAATAGTAATAAACTTCTTACCTTTTGCTTTCAAAAGATTAATTTCTGTGTTTTGCTCCATAATTTTAGCCTCCAAAGATTTCATTTGAGTATCTATTTTCAAAGTAAGATTTCCTAAAACTCTTTTCAGTGTTTCGGTGGTAACATTGGTAACAACACCATGGTTGCTTTGGTCAATTTCCTGTGATATGTACGCTTTAAGTTGTTTATTTAACTTATCAGTGTTTATATTTGCCGTCAGCGTTGCTTCGAAACTTCTATCCATGAGAGGCAAAGCAACATTATGACATTCATTTCCTGTAGTACATTTACTTTGTACAAGACACAAAATTGACAAACCCAAATACATAAATTGCAAAACAATTGTTTTAAACATTTTGATTTTCTATGTCAGATTCTAAATATTCTAATATATATTCACTTAGTACTGTTATGAAATTGTTATTAGTTATGAAACGTCGGTCTACACTTACGGTCAGCTGACAATGTAATGCGCAGTTAGTAATAAAAACAAATCTATGGCGTTGTACAGTTTCTATAACGTAAAATTGTATTTCGACAGACTATACTTCCGCAACAATGTCACAATAATATACTCTTTTGTTAAAGTAACATTACTTCTGTTATTGCATCGCAATATAATATGAAGAGCTTATTTTTGTATACGAGTGTACTTTAAGTTTCTTTCAACATTGCATATATGTTTTTGTAAAATTATGTAACCGTGAGTACTCAGATCGGACATTTTTTCCTGTCTTTTTTCTGTAGGTTGATTCGTTTTTTAAATGATTATATGCTGTACTGTTACACCATGCTATGTTCCGGGTTAGGGAAAGAGTTGAGCCCTCGCAAACATGTTTAACCCCGCAACATTCTAAATGCGCATGTATACGTGTGATAGTCGTTGATTGTTGTGTGGCCTCTTTTTTTCGTTTATTGTTTTACTATAAATCAGGCTGTTGGTTTTTTTCATATGAATTGTTTTACATTTTTTCTTCATGTCGAGGTCTTTTATAGCTTATTATACGATACGAGTTTTGTTCATGGTTGAAGGCAGTATGGTGACCTATAGTTTCTAACGTCGACTTCACTTGGTCTCTGGTAGATAATAGTTTCAATTGCAATCAACCACATCTGTTTGTGTTTATACTGTAACCCCAAAAAGAGACGAGAAAACTTGAAATGAACAATTGAATTCATTACGACATTAGTCGGAGAAAATCTGACAATACCATGGCAAAACTAAAGAAAATGACAAAGAGACAAATAACATTCTACTAAACACTTCATGGTAAACTTATGACAGAGCAACACGAACTCAACCATTAACAGGGGGTTGTGATCTCAGGTGCCAAGGAAGGGTAAGCAGATCCTGTTCCACATGTACGTCCCACCTTTCATATTGCACATGGCAATTAAAAAAAGGATGAACAAATTCAATCAGTGATTTTACAATGGAGGAAACGAGGACGGGTTGCGGCTACATGGTCATCGGTGATTCCGATATTCCAAAACGGCCAACCAAATCATGATGGCATGCATACAACTTTCAAAAGGATGACTTCAAAAGGAACCCTTGGTTAAAAAGTTTTCTTGTAATCAGTAACCCTCTATCAAGGAAATAAGGATAGATCACCTTATGAATGCCTAAAAATTGCTCGAAACAGCAAATGTTTTGGATTTTATCAAATAAGAAGTATTTAAAAAAAAGAACACAAAAGATTTTTAATTTTGACCCTTATGATGCTAATTGGCAGTTTGAAAGTAAATGTTCGATGATAACCTGAACAGAGCTATTTTCTTATTTTTATTCAAAAAGGTACAAGAAGGTCTTTGAATATGGTGTGTGATGTTTTCTATTGGCACTCGATCAGCATAGTATTTGTCCATGTATATATACTGGCCTTTTCGACCTTTAAACATTCCCCTGTGTTGACGACAGATCTTTGCCAGGCAAGGAAAATTTTATATACGACGTGGATAGGCTCGTAGCGTTTTAGAAATTGACAAAGGATGTATGCAATTGACTATTGTTGAATATAATTAAAAGATTATGCTGGGTATATGTTTATGAAACAGCAACCTAGTGGCACAAACAAATAAATAAAATACATCTAGTGCTTTTCACACGATGTCCGATCTGGTATCGTTTTAATGTCATTGCAATGCTGCTTACAAAATTATAAACCTGATATATTTTAAAGTCTGTACACCATTCTTTTCTAAATATTAAAAAGAACAAAACCTTTTAAAATTGTATACTTGTATATATATATATATATATTCTACTAGTGAAATACTATAATCTCAAATTCTGTATTATATTCGTCATTGATAGTACATAATTTCAAATACTTAAATAATCTGGAAGGTTTCTAAACCTCTTGACAAATGCATTGAAAATAGCAAAAATATTTTAAATTTGGTCAAAAAACAAAATGGTCAATGAATACAAAAACTACACACCTTTACCATTTTCAAAATTTTATTAAAAACAAGATGTGTCGGGATGACAAGAATGCTAAAAATCGTCAGAATAACGATAAGACTTTAGCAAAATATTTATAGGCATACCGGAGAAAAATGGCCGGACAAAAACTGGTTTAATGCATGTTCGATAATTCCGTGAAAACGTTTGTAAGCCATTTTATACATCGGGGTGTTGGTATCTCCATTATTAGGTCCTAAAGAGGATGTAACAAATCAATTCTCTGAATTTACTTACAATCGGACCACTACATCGCTTCTTTAGAAATTCATAATGATTATTTTATTTTGTTTTCTTTGTTTAGTATTATAGTACCGACAAACGTATTAATTGATGGGCATCTGTGACATACATTTTAACAAAAACGTACTCTGTATGATTATAGCTATGATTGTCCCATATTGTCCCATTAGTCATCACTTTTTTGTTGACATAAATTATCATTGAAATTATCATTATTATAAATTAACAGTTTAAAAACTTTGAACTTTTCAAACTTCTAAGGAGTTTCTATCTCATGAATAGATGACCTTAGCTGTATTTGGCTTGACCTTAGCTGTATTTGGCTAAACCTTTCGGAATATTGGGTCCTCAATGCTCTTCAACTTCGTACTATGTTTTGCCTTTTTTTATTTTTTGATTCGAGCGTCACTGATGAGTCTTTTGTAGACGAAAGGCCCATCTGGCGTAAATTTTTTTAAATACTGGTATCTATGATGAGTATATTGGCCCATATAGTGATAACAAAGGAGAATGTTTTGTTGATCGAAATTTTATTTCTTTAAACATTAATTCCGAAGTGGAGCCATATTGGAAAAGTTGAGTGGCCGTTTGTTTAATTTTTTATCGAATATAATTTGAAGACAATTTTATCCAAAACTTGTTCAAATTGGATCAAATATTGAATTGACCATACTAGTAGTGTTATAAATACTTTCTAAAACGTTTTTTGCAATGAAGGCCATCTTTGTTTTCCGGCGGGAATAGTATTGTTAGTATTGGAAGGGCACTACTTTATAACCATTCACCAACATTTCTCCATTCAAATTGCTTATCTTCAGATGAATTAAATTGACATTTTATCATTGATCCAATTGTAATTTTCCTTGATATAGACATACTGGTATACCTAAGTTTACCAGTGGTGGAAAACATGGACGAGTGGAAAAGTCGCCGGCTATTTATCGGAAAGAGATTCATATAAATACAAATCGAAGGAAATGTGGGACACGCTTATACTCGCGGGCACTTGTCTCTGGAAAAAAATTCCTATATACCTGTATATAGGAAAAAAAATTCAGAGACAAGTGTCTGTGCTTATACTGTAGCACAAAAAAAATATTATCAAAATGAATAATCTGATAAATCTATAAACATGTTGGTCGAGTGGTTTCAGAGGAGATTTAAAAAAAGTTACGACAGCGACAGCCGACGACGGACAACAAGTTCAATAGTCCATCATGTGACGACCTAAATCGGTCAAAATATTTAAAAAAAAAAACCTGACAACTGCATGTACATTATTGGAAAGCCAGAGTGACGGAATGGTTCACAATATAAACAACTGGCCACTGAGTAGCGGACGCATACTAAATCTTTATTACAAAACATTTACATTCAGAAAGTGAAAATGTTCTATTTCGAGGAAACTACGCAGATGACTTCTCTGTCTTGAACATACCATGGACATTTTAAACTTCCACACACAGCTTCCACTGTATATATATTAAGCATGGCTACTACCATGACCACTTGATTCCAACTTCTCATCAACGCAAATATATTGAGTCTGTTTTCGGTCGCTGGTGCTCATATGAGACATAAACTACTTAGAAAATTATTTAAGCCAGCCTTGATGGCAGGTAATTTTTGATGGAACCATAAGAACTGTAGACCTTCTGGCAAGACATATACCACGCATGGAGTAATCTCGTTATGTAAACTTCTAGGATACGGTGTGTTTTTTTTTTATATTTCATATTCAACACCATACAAAACATCCTTTTCGCCGTTTATTCCATCTCCATATTCATTTCACTCTGGATTTTTTGGCAAGTACATGTAATTAGTTCCAGATCCCTTATCGGAATAATGCTTCAGCAAAACCTACAAAATCTACCAGTATAGTATTATGAACAATACATTCTTTGGCGATTTTTTTTTCATAACCATTGGATCGATGCCACTGCTAGTAGAGGTTTCTTCTCCGATGTATCTCCTGTCCAGTAATCAATACTTCTGTGTTGACATGACATATCATTGATATGGTCAGGTTTATAAATCAAATGTTTACAAAACGAATGTTCTACACCAGGAATAGAATACTTTACCTGTATTTGGTAAAACCTTTTGGAATTCGGGTCCTCAATGCTCTTTAACTTCGTACTTTATTTGGCTTTTTAAATTATTTGATTCGAGCGTCACTGATGAGTCTTTTGTAGACAAAACGAGAGTTTGGAGTACAAATTATAAGTCTGGTGTCTTGATGAGTTTTTACATGTTGGTAGTATTTGTTCATTCTTTGCAAAAATGTAGTATATGTTGTGACATGTTAAGAATTTTTAAATTCTTTACAGCTAATCCCCTTAATTTTAAAAGCTTTTTGTTCACACTTTCACTTTTTAATGACACCTCTTTACATGGATTGGATGGTGTTTTATTCAAACAACCCCATTCCATACACCAAATAGTAAGTGCATACAACTTTCATAAATTCAGGAGCCTTATATTGAAACAGTAGACCGAACAGTGTGGATTGCAAACTTCTGAAAGTGACAAGGGAAGAAAACTATATTTGAAGGATTGATCACATGATTTGGTAAATCACAACTATACATACAGATGATGATGGTGCATTTTTTTTTACTCTTATCCCCCTCCCCCATCTCCCTCTCCTTCAGGACATACTGTTCTTCCCTACCAGTGATATAGGTCTCCCTCGGACTTTCTAAAAATAGATAAATGGTACAGTTGATAATAAAGTTTATATATGCACACTATATATGCGTATTGCAGATTTGGATGGCTTTCTTAATCGACCGAAAATGTCTGCAAATAATCGGATATTTGCCGGAAGTAGCTAATTTTAAAGCAGAAATTCAATTCATGTTCATTTTATCCAATGGTAATTTTAAATAATGTTGCTTTAAAAAAATAAACTGTATATATATCTATCTATGTTGCATTACAAGAAAATTATGTCTATGTGTTTATAAAAAACAGTCATGATCTTACGTTGTATTTCTTAATTCCCGATTATTAAGTGATCCTACTCTTCAATGATTCATCTTCGTAGTTAGTCCCCGAGTGTATCATCAGTGTAGTTAAATGCGTTAGTCGGTGGGTGTCATAAAAATTCGGCTATAGTTTTATTGAAAGCTGCTGCTGAAAATCTAAGAAATCGTTTTTTGATAAAAGAATGCTTCTCTCCAATGCCAAGCCATGTCTCCTTATCCAGGTTTGGCTATAGTTTTTTGTCCTTTTCAATTATATAAAATATTAGCTCTGCAAAGTTTGTATAGGTTAACTTTTGGATATTCCATATATTTTGGCATCGAGCATCACAGAGATTCACACAGATTTTGCTAATTTTGTCTAATGAAAAGTTACTTGACATTCGAAAGAAATACATTTAGGGAATCATATGCAAAAGTGCTATTACAACTTTTTTTGTTCACCGGAATCCTCCAACGGAAGACTATAATATGATTTGAAATAATGCACACAACCATGACAATCTTTCCACCAGTGATTTCTATCACTTTGGTTTTTATCTTGATTTATATTTTCTTTATATTTACGGGATCGGTAAACTACTGTTGTCTCTTAATTCAACTTCTTTTTCCAGGGTACACATATATTTTTGTTTTACTTATAAATACTATTATACTATCATATACTATTCTCTTTTATGATACACTTTTTTATTACACTGCCTTCGGTTTGTCCATGTGATTGTTACATTGTTTCTGTTGATGGCTGATAATTAGCAAAAGGGGTTAGAAAACCTCCCTGCAAATATATCAAGCTAAACTCAGAGAGCACACATACTTCAAAAGAAACTATTTAGCATCGGATGCAAACGGTTTGTTTAGGAAATATTAAAATATTTTTGCCATATGACGTTGTTCCGACTCCGTTTGTGATCGGCTTATGAGTTTTAATTCTCTTGGTATCTTCCGTCTCTTCAATTGTTGGTTTTGCCATATCTTAGTACTAGTAGTTCGGTAGACACTACTGAGATTTTCTTTGGTTGTCATCCACGTAAACCTCACTAAACTGTGAACGAAGGGCAATAACTCTAATTCCTTTACAGAAAAATAAGAAATATGAGGACACATAGGTAGACTTGATCAGAATTATGCATTAATTGTACCAAATTAGATTGATTAAATGTTGCTTAACGTCTAGTGGCAATAATCTCATACATATTCAGGACGAGAAACCCTCAACTTTTAAACAATATGTAGGTTCTGCGAGGTAGGTCGACTTGGATGCATAGATTTTAGGCTGCCACTGGAAATGAAGGAATGTTGGATAGGTGACAGAAATTTAATCTTTCATTGGGGCACTTACGGACTCCTTAATGATTTGTTGGAAGGGTTCTTTAACGTACATAGGGCGTGGCACTCTTTCATCACGAGACATCGGATTTAACGTCCCAATTCCGACTCTACGTGGCTGCGTATTTATACATCAGTCAACCCTAAGGCTTCTACATTTTGTCTGGTAATATAACGTTTATTACATATAGACTCAGGCATACCAACTCTTCTTATTTTAACATGGTCTTCACGACACAGTATTCATATTTGAAAACAAATGCCTACTATAGAAGTAACACGATGGGTTTCTTTGGTGGAGCAAGAAATGCAGTGCTGATCCCTCTGGAGAGACTGAAAGTATTCGAGTGTATCCCCAGTATTTGTCCAGATTTGGGTTGCTCACTCTTTTTGTTTTCATTGTAGTTTCTTGTTATCTTTTGTTTGTCTCAGTAACTCGTCATTGACTACTTACGCATTTTGATTGTTCACAGTTATTTTCAAAATTTTGAATGATAGATATATTCGAGAAAAGTTAGCAAATTTAATACAGATGTTTGTTTGCAAGTTTACCACAAAGTTATGATGGGTAATCATTTGTCATTTTGTTTATGCCTTACGTCGGGTCATCAAAATTATTTTACTATTAATTTTTTCTATAATTAGATGATTTCTGTATTCTGTACATCGGTCATTTCTGTAATCAGTACTAGACTAAGTATTACAATTATATAATTCTTTTATTTTTCCAAAGTTACTCTTTATTTTTTATATTACCCCATTTTTCTGTAATCTTCATATATTTTGCTCATTTTTTCTGTTTATTATATTTTTTACCATTATTCTCTAATCTGTAAACCTCATCCAGCTGTGTGACCCTCTTCATTTATTTATGTTTCCGACATAATCTAGACTTTTCACTTATATGTTCGCGGTTTTTCTTTTTTGTAAGATAAGTTTTCGTAAGTCATTATCAAGCAAATAGAAAAATGTTTTCGAAATCGTTATGAATTCCTTTTTATATGACTAGAATTTGGCTAGATAGATGAATTTGAATTGGTAATTGAATGTCCTGGTTGTTCAAAAGCTGAAGCTATTATATTTACGCTGGTCATTTGAATGATGTTTTACATTAAAGTTATTGTGATCTGGGACATAATGTATTGTGATCTGGGACATAATGTATTGACGTAACAGTTATGCTCTTCCCAGTAGTGATGTTTATATCAACTGTACCACATCAATATCATTTTGTTATTTTTTTACTTCAGAGCTTCTGAACCTGAATGATTTGAGGACTCTGTCGCAGCGATTTTCACGGTTTTGATAATTTTTTACATGGTCTCTAATGACTGTAAACTTTACCCCGAGTGTATCATCAGTAGTCAGTGTATCGGTACGAACAAGATTTATTACAAAAATGTCTTAACTTGTCCGTTTGTAAATTAAGTTTTCAAGCAAGGTTGGCCTTATATTAAATCTTAATCTTTGGCTATTATTTGTAGGTCTTTTCAGGTCATATAGCTCATCAACTGTTTCGGTTCTTATGCACCCTTGGCTGTCAAATATTCGGCCTCTGAGCGTTCCTGATGACTGAGGTAAATTCAGAAAAGCGCTTCGGATGCATGCAATTTATAAAGTGTTGTTTTCAGTTTCATGTACGTAAACATAATTTAAAGTGTTGCTTTCATTTCTTATCTGATTTGCATATCTACAACAACAGAATGTGATTGATGCTTTAGGTTTTTTTCTCTTCTTCTTTCGATAGACAATGTGACTTTCGTTACCTATGTAAACACTATGTCGATTCCACTATATCAATGCGCGATATACATAAATGGAATCCTGGGGTTCCAGGATAGTTGAAATTGCCGGAAAGAAAAAAATAACAGTAATGTTTTGGTTGAGAATTGTGAGGATTACACACATTTTTCTACATGTAGTTAATGTGTAAACGGGGCGGTCGGTGACTCTCAAACGAAGTCCTTGTTTTTAATTCTAAATTATACCATTCTGATGGCGTCCTGTACATGCATGAAATATTTGCCACTTGACGTTAAGCAACCCCAAATCAATCAATCATTATTCGGCAGAAGTCATATGACTATAGATTTGTCCACCTCTGGAGACTAACTATTACTAATTAACGAATCGTGACAAATACAGTGGCGTATGGGTAGACCGAAAATGTATATATGTGTCTGTGGAGGGGTGTAAAAATAAGGTTGTTGGCAAGCAAAACAAAACTAAACAAAAACACATACTATACCGTATAGTCTAAAAGATTTTAGTCCGTGTCTAAATTCTTTCTTTTTAATTTTTTTTATTGGCGGGTTCAGTAATTTTGCAAAACCGGGGGTGTCCCTGTTGCCACCTCGCTCATACGCATTTGAAATTAAAAAAAACATAGGCTGCATGCATGCATAAAACAATATAGCATTTATATCAAATTAAGCGGTGGCCAGTCATGAAAAACATAGGACAGCATGATATAGTCTATATGTAAGTATACCGTGAATAAGCGGCATGTCTTGCCGAGAATTTTTAAATTTTATAATTTTGTCAATGAAATTATATTTATTTACCGGTAGTCAAAAAGTATTTGGAATTTGGAATATTGTGTCTCTTCTGGATTTCTGACCTAGGCCTTTGCTCCAGGTGAGCTGAGTTTTCTGTTCGGAAATACATGTCTGTTCCGTTCCGTTACGGAATGTTTATACACCTGTCACAGAGATGTTTTATTATTTTTTACATTTGACAAAACCTTCGATTGATCTCATTCCATATTCAAGAAGGAAAGAAAAAGACCTAACATTCCAGCGGTTAAACCCTTTTTATTTTATGAGAATATACATGCCTGAATATCCTCGATATGACATGAAATAACAGATACTGATGTAAACAAACGCATAGATAATATAAATTGTTAATTGTAAACAGTCCTGCTTTGCTAATGATCTCTTTATGATCACCTGTTCAGCTTCCATAATCTGGTATTACATCCAGGTGAAAGTAGGGCTGTTTTTTATTTAACAGACATAATGGAAATATTTAGTGCCATCTCAGATTTTATTTCACCAGATACAGAGGGCTCCCAGAATATACTGTCGTTTAAGAAAGGTGACAAATTTGAAATATTTGATGTTAACAAAACCAGTGCTGAATGGTGGGGAGCACGAGCTGTTTCTGATAATGCTGTGGGATATGTTCCATCAAAATATATGAAGGTTTGTATGCTACTTCTAGCATTTTACACAGTACACATGACAGACATAATCATGATATGTATCGGACATAATCATGATTATAGGGTGAAATATGGAAATTTTGAATTATACATTTAAACAGAAATGTTTTGCAAACTGATTTATCAGACTATTCCGACTATTCTAAATTTGAGAATTGAATCAAATTCATTCCGTGGAGTAGTTTTATGCGATTTCCCTTGTAAGTTGAAAAAATTCTTATTGAAGATGTACATGTTCTGTTATTCATTAACATTATGCACATGTATTAAAATGTATATGCCACTGTTACTGTGTTCAGATTGAGATAGAAGATATTTGTACCTATGTGTTCATGTCATACCTGTCAAATGACCTGCATATTTTTGGAAAAAAAGAGCTCACCCACGATTTTGCTACAGTTGCCCGGATGATCAAATAACCTGTAATTTCAGCAGTTGACCTATTTTCACCTGTATTCTTCTGCTTTGAGACTTTTTAACTACATGTATGAAATGCTGGATTTCATAAATGATTTTACTTTGAAATATCGGCAAATTTGTAATTCTTCCTGGACAAGAAGTTCAACTAGCTGTGTTAACTGTCAAATTAAGTGACCCATTAAGTGCATGGCTTCACTTGACAGCTTCTGTGTCAAACACACTGTTGATTAACACCAATTATCTTAGCCTAAGGTAAAAAATAATTTGTGTATTTCAAAGATGTTTGACTAAAAATTCAAGATTATCCCCCTTTTTTGTCATTTTTCACAGTATACTCCTTAAATTGATGTTTCTTAGTAAAAAGATTAAATGTAAGGCAAATTGAATGCAAAGATATATAAAAATAATACTTAAATGATTTTTACTTTCTTAGGACAACTAGAAAATTACTATTTTGAAAATAATTTTTTTCATCTCTACTCCCTTTTTAAAAATGATATGATCTCATATAAAGTAAAAGTCATGATTTATGAAGTAAAGTTGTACAGGGATACAAAACTATAAGTGTAACTATAAGTTTTACATTATTTCCAGTAAATTCTTAACCATGTGAACATGTTTTGGAAACTGTTTGATTTAGAATATAAAAAATGTCCCCTAAATATTTTAATTCAGCTGAAAAAAGTTTGTATGCAATTTGACCTGAGATTTTCTTCTTCAATGCAGGCCTTGACCTGCATTTTCATCTTCAGAGGTTGACAGATATGTAATGTTTTTTAACTCTCTCTTTTTGATGGTAACAGATTTACTCAGATTCACCATGGCATTGAAAGGTGTAATGTATAAATTAAGTGTTTTTGCAGTAAAATTAGTATCTTATGTTTTGACTGACAGATTGCATGAAATGACAGGAAATGTTAAATAGGTCTTACATCAACATTAAGCACCAAAATCTTGTACCTTGACTGATTTATGACATTTTGTTTCTACCTTAAAGATGATAAATTAGAGATTAAAGTCCTTGTTAAAATTGTCTTTTAAAGAAACCACACCCTTCTGTTGTCAGCACGTTTGGTCTAGTTGAAATTTATCTTTATTTTCTTGAAATGTGATTTTTACTATCATCATGATCATGATGATCAGTATCAGGAAACTTTGGGAAGTTTGTACAATGTATCAAATAAAGACCATCATCAAAACAAGTTTTCTATTTGGGAACAGACGTCTTGATGGACAGACTACTTGAGTCCAGAGCAAATCTGAAGATCCTTTTCTATACACTCATGGAATTGGACTAGGAGTGTTTAGACTTATCAAACTTCGTCCCACTAATTAAAAAAAATAACCAAAATAAAAAAAGAGTCACTACAATGTCTGTTCAGTTACAAAATTTGAATCATTTTAAAGAGCAACACACTTTCAAAATAAGGTCAAGGTTAAATGAAACTCTGTCATTTTAATGGTCCTGGTCAGGTTTAATTTTCAGGATAAGGTTTGTCCCTCAGCCACTGTTGTTAACCTGCCATATATACATGTGCACGTAGTTACTGAGGGTCAGACCTAATCGAGTAAACTTGACCACTGGACACAAACGCTAGATAGAGAAAGTGAGGTTAAAGTCATATGGACTACAAAATGTACTTGTATTTCAAAAGACATACATGTACAATCAACCAACATACCAAAAGGCAAATATTGTTGACAAAAGGAACAAACTTAATCTTTTAAAATTTATCCTGAGTACTGGAACCTGAAAATGAGTTTTTAGTTGTTTATGACATTTGTCGGATGGAAATACACAATGTATAGACTGCCACTGTTTAAAGACCTTGACTACCCATGAGGGTCTCATTCTGTTTGTTTATCATGTTTATACATTTTGCAACCAAACTTTTGACAAATATTGTTGATTGGTACATTTACATGTAGCTGCTTACAGTTCAGGTGCCAATATTACATGCATAATTAGGACAATATCATGTTAACAAAACATAAATATACCATGCTTTGTTGAAGTTTATTCTAACTTCAAGCCAGCAAGGTAGTATGCCTACTCTTAAATGCCACTTTCTTAGTAGAGAAGTTGCAAATACTAATTTCGAAGTTTTCAGTTGATCCTGGTGGGGATTGAACCCAAAAACTAATGAGATAGAGGCAAACATGTCCCCACAAAACCTCTGAGGTGGTTAATATATTGTTGACCTATAATCATGTATAATTAAAGAACAATTTTTAAAATTACTAAAGTCAACAATTAAGTTTTCAGTACCACTGCTAGGAAAGTTATACCAAAGTTTTGCCTTAAATTACCTCAACTTGAGTTGCATGTGAGACAAAAATGATTAGAGAGGTTGTATGGTTGAAAATATGTCCAAGATACAAATAACATGTATGTGACTTTTGGGAATTCCTGAATATATAAAGAAAACATAGTTTAACACCCTGAAATGCTCATACATGTTAGATGATGTCAAATTCATGTTTTGAAGATTTTTTTTTTTTGCCCTACATTTTGTACTTTTGATTAAAAAGTGCCCCGACATAAATACATCAACTTCACATTTGATGAAACTGTTTGACATGATGTATTTGTCATGTTTTTAGTTCCTTAAGATATTCTGCTGAATTGCAAATGCCAAAGGCGCTTTTTTTTATGTCCCCATGACAAAATGTTGAGGGGCATATTAATTTACCCCTGTTCGTCCATCTGTCCGTTCGTTTGTCCGTCTGTCTGTCTGTCCGTCTGGAGGTTAGGTACATGGCCACAGGATTTTGATTTTTTTCAAATATTCCGAAAATGACAGGTAGTTGGACTTTTTTTTTTGGTCAGGCGGGGGCATCATTTGTGTCTTACAGACAGCGTAACAATTTCAAGTTGTATGCCAACATCACTGTTTGCCAAATCTAAAATATGTGGAACTATACTCATGCATATGGCAGAGCAGAAAGGGGGGCATTGTCCATATCTAGTTTTAATCCAAATTCATGAAAAAATGCATGGAGTTGGTAGTTTTTCTGACTTTTTGTGAGATTACACATAAAGATTATTGGACAGTTTACTATGCTTAAAATAAAATTAGTGATTTATTTGTGTATGGTATTTTTCTGTACATATTATAGTAAAACTTAAGCAAAACTAAAGCAGGTTTGAACAGAAATCTTAGAATATATGATAAATGTACATGTATGTATCAAGCTGTGGCTTTACAGATTTTCAGGAGCGCAGCTCAATTTTAAATGTCAGTTTTGGAGGATCTACTAAAAGTTCGAGATTACTTTTGGGGAAAAACTGGATTTTTGGCTCTGTAAATAGAGATCAAAGGCAGATACTATTTATCATGTTATAAGGTTGGTTAGAAATAAACTAACCTCCAAAGAAATGTTAGGTTGAAACAGAGGGGAAGGAGTCTGCAGTACCTATGGTATTTTAACAGCTTTTAGATTAAACGTTGATACAGCAGTATATATACAGGATACATTGATACAACAGTATATATTGACACAGGATGCCATGTTGTGAAGCTCTAGTAAATACCTATGTTTAATAGATATGTCAGTTTCTTCTAATCCCTGCCCTTCAATCCAAATAAGATTACACAATTTGAGTTGCCCTTTATGTAAACAAAATAATTAATCTTAATTTTTTTGTTAGAACTTTACATATAATTATACTTACATTTCCCCCATTTATTTGAGGTTTCATCAACATTTATATGTTTAAGGAGATTATTTATATACTAAACATCCTTGAATCAGAAGTTGTACAATTTAATCTTTTAACTCTCCTAAGACAAACAAAATTTTTTGAATGTAAGTTTAATTTTTTATAAAATGACTTTAATCAATCATTAGTATGTGTGTCTTTCTAGTAAGAATTATCTCTGTAATATTATAGGATAAAAAGATTAATATGATGTATAATTGTCAACCAGATACAAATGGTTGCTAGTCAATTATAGACATAAATCTGACCCTTTCCATTTTATCTTTTGAATTGTTTTTAATTTTGTTACTGGGGTCAAGTTATAGCTTATAAGTATGAATTTTGCTCATTGTTGAAGGTTTTACAGTTACCTGTTCACATCTTTGGTGGATATTTGTCTGATTGTCAGTCATACTACATCTCCTTACTGTCATATTGTCCATTACCTCAAACAATTGTTATCTGTTGGTTTTTTGTCCCCTGCGTGGCATGTTGTGGGGGACATAGAAATAATGTGTGTCTGTCCGATTGTCTGGTCTTCCCGTTAGCGCTCTCATATGTACAATTCTTGCCAGATTTTTCCAAAACTTGTATCATAGGTTTATATTAGCATTCTCTGGAACAAGTTCGAAAATTAGTGCTGATCAATTATTTTTAAAGAGTTATGCCCCTTTGAATTATAAATTATATGGAAAGTTGCATTGTAAGTGCTCTCACATACACATGTACGATTCTTGCCAGATTTTAATCTAATTTATGTTAAAGATTTATATCAGCAATGTCTCGGAAACGATCGAAAATTTTTGTAAGATATTTATAAAAAGTTTTGAGGCACCAAAATAAAAATTTACATATTTTAAATCATAAATATTTTTTGAAGATTTGATATCAACTTGTCCAATTTTATGAGAAAATTTAATCCTTCCTTTTTCTACCCCTTCATAATTTAAGCACTTTATTTTTAATGATTGGCCAGCTGTTTGAGACTCATACAATAATATCTTATTCCCTTTTTAGATGCAAGTAAAATGTTACTAACACTTGTATTCCTATTTCAGTTTGAAGAAAGAAAGATCGGAAAGTTGATCTCAGAAGATATAAAGGTAGGTCACATTTCTCCATGTAAACAAGCATGGACTATAACATGGATGTATATTGCATGTTAAATTTTAACAAGAATATTATATTACACATGAGGGTCTTTATTCTTTAATTTTTTTGACTACTTTTCTCTATTCTTTATTTTGCCCATTATTCTCAATTTTTTTTTATATTTTAGCACCCCATTATTCTCTATTCTTTCTTATTTTGCCTATATTTTTCTATTCTTTTTTCCCCCCTTTATTCTGCACCTTTTACCCATTATTCTCTATTCTGTAAACCCCATCCAGACCCTCATACATTGTACATGAAATTGATATGCATATTTGTACATGTTATATATTTAGGTTTCATTTTACAAAATTTATTAAAGAGTACCTTTTCATCATCAACAAATAATTTCTCTGATTCAGCATAGTGAAGTGGAGATTTAATTAAGGTATCTCCTTATCACAACTTCTTAAATTGATATTTAGAAGTGAGGAACATGATATATTTGTCATAAACTGTTATTAAAAGAGTTCAAGGTTTGCTACAAAACTTTTGGATGAACACGAGATATTACATGCACTCTCACAATTCAGTTTATGCAAACACTAAACAATCCATCCAGGATGCATCAGCATGGATGTCAAGACTCCAGTTGGAAGGACTTCAAATAGTTTAAAAAAACCTTTTAAAATCACTACTCAAGACCTCATTTTTGGAGTACTTTTGAGTATGTTTATTGTTCTGAGACTCAGAAATCAACCAATCAAGATATTGGATTTGGTGTTTCGGGCACAAATTTCGTACTCTGAGTTCTGAGTAAAGTTTTATGACTGAAAAGCCTAATCTCCTCTCCCTTTTGATAATAATCTTCCTTTCACAATTGTTTGAATATATACTAGCATAAAATGCGGGTTTTTTTTGTCTTGCATTAAATTGTTTTGTGGACATAGTTAAGAATTTGCATTCCATTTTTCTTGAATCTAAAACTGCCCAGGATTACATAAATTAGGTATGGTACATGTAGTTGGTCTAGTTTGTAGTATTTCATGAATTAAATTTTCTTTTATTTCTTTATTCAATTTCATGTTTGTGTCCAGGCATATTTTGGTACATAACTATGGTCAGGTTTAAATTTAATTGTAATCAGGTGAAGAGGGTGATCTGGTACAAGTGCGTAGATCAAGTTCAGATAAACCTTGTTTCACCCTTATGTTCAATGGGTTCTGTAATTTTATATTGTTGTACCTGTTGAAATGAACTGTTTGTCAGTTAGAATGGTTAGTAATTGCCAGATGAGAGACATAACTTTGATTCAGAATATTTCTTATATTTTATGAAGCACTGTGTAATGATGCTGCTTTGAGAAAAATAAATTGGAAATTTGGACAGATGTGGTAGATGGCCTCATTTCACATCTACAATTTATCAACCAATTAATATAAGGTGACTAAAAAAATAAAAAAGCACTTATAATGTGATATTTAGTGTTGCTCTGACAATTAGTTACACTGGTAATAAAAAATATGTAGCTTGAGGCAATCCTGCTAGATAATTGATTGCAAAATATAATCAGTTATAGAAAAACAGTTTGAAAGACTTGAAGCCTACTTTTAACGGTTGCAGTATATATATAGAATTACTGCAGATAGCTCTTTATCGTTAAGCAAGATGCTTTGTTGCATATTCAGTTAACATTAAAACATTGCTTTTTATTGATATTGAATAAATGTGTTTATTTAGCGAAATTTTAGTCATCTTTGTGGGATAATTTTACTAAAAATAGTGATGGAAGTAAGTCTCGTCTCTTCGTAAAATATCACCCATAAAAAAATGTCAGACACCAAGAGGCTTGATTTCGAATCTAAAACACCATACAAACGATTGAAAATTGATAGACTAACCTAAAATATGTTGTAAAGTTCTAAAGGAAATTATTTTTTGCTGTTTTTTTTTGCTTTCTTTGTCAAATTTACGAGAATGTTGTTTGGATTATTCTCGTCCGCCATGTTTGTTGTAGTCGTAAACTTTTTTCAGATACGCTTCGAAATTTGACACTTATTGCCAACATTTTTGGTAGTTTTATTCTTTTATTTCTTAAATTGAAATATGTTTTTAAAATAGTTTTAACCATTCTACGTTCTCAGTTGTAAAAACATGCATATTGCACTCTTGATTGCGATAGTCTAAAAATAGAAATTTAGGTACCCTTAAGGATAATTTCGGCATCTACACCGATGTGCCAAAAGGATCATTTCGGCATGCGTACGAGGGTGCCAAAAGGATAACTTCGGTATGAAAGGGTTAAAAAACACAATAAATTACATAATTGATACTTGTAGTTTAAAGCTGATTGGATTTGATTATATTACATTTGTAACTGCATGTATAGCCAATCATTGGTGAAAATTTTTACCAATTGAACAACACCATTTGAATCATTTCTGCTGCAAGTTATTTGACAAAGGGGCATGCATATTCAGAGAATATAAACATTTCCTTTTTTTGAAAATATTTAATCATCTTGGACTTAACGAAACTGTGTTTTTATGAAACATGGTATATATACATGTAAGATGTGAATGAAACATCATCCCTGTGTTTGTGAAGTTCAGTGTTACTGTCTTAAAGAAATAATGAAATTGACACTTGGGTCAATGGCCAAACATCATTTTACTGAAAAATACATGTAGATGTATATATTTAAATGGTCATTCAATAGTTCTTTACCTATGTTAATGTACATGTAGTTTTGTAATTATCCCTGTATGGTATCTCAATATCAGAATCCTATCATAAAAAGATCATGCCCCCAGTTATTATGACAATGTCTATGAATTGTAGAATGATATCATCTTTTGAAGTATTTATATTGTTTGGTAACCCAACTTTGAATTGTCACTCTGTTTTGGTAGTCTGTTGTGTAATAGTTAAAGAAAAATCTTGACTCTCCATCATATGTTTTTTTATGACATGTTAAATTAGGTGTTATAGATGCTGATGGATTACAGTAAAGCAGCTTATATTTGTACCATGATGACCTGGCTTATATATCAAATGAATAATTAATAATAATACATCATCTACTCTTATATCAGAGGTTTTACACTTAATTTGTACTGAGGTCCAGTTAAAAAAACTATTTAGACTTGTATGTACATGAAGAAAGGGAGAAAAAAAAGGAAAATGAACTGTTCATTGTAAGATTTTCCTAAAAAACTTATGTACATGTAGTTTTTATACGACCGCAAAAATTGAAAATTTTTTGGTCGTATATTGGTAAGACGTTGGCGTCGTCGTCGTCGTCCGGCGTCGTCCGAAGACACATTGGTTTTCGCACTCTAACTTTAGTTTAAGTGAATGGATCTCCATGAAATTTTACCATAAGGTTCAATACCTCGAAAGGAAGGTTGGGATTGATTTTGGGGGTTATGGTACCAACAGTTAAGGAATTAGGGGCCAAAAAGGGGCCAAAAATAAGCATTTTTGTAACTTCCAGACAATAACTAGTGTGTAAGTGTATGGATCTCTCTGACATTGTACCACAAGGTTCCATATCACAAAGGGAAGGCTGTAATTGATTTTGGGGGTAATTGCCTCAAAATTTTAGGAATTAGGGGCCAAAAAAGGGGCAAAAAACAAGCATTTTTCTAGTTTCATGACAATAACTTGTGTGTAAGTGTTTGGATATTTCTGAAATTGTACTACAAGGTTCCATATCACAAAGGGAAAGCTGGAATTGAGTTTGTGGGTAATTGCCCGAAACGTTTAGGAATAGGGGGCCAAAAAGGGGCCAAAAATAAGCATTTTTCTAGTTTCCAGACAATAACTTGTGTTCAAGTGTATGGATCTCTCTGAAATTGTACTGCAAGGTACCATACCACAAAGGGAAGGCTGGGATTGAGTTTGGGGGTGATGAATCATAAGGGGGTTCAAAAAATTTGGGGGGGGATTTTGTTTTTTTCTTTTTTTTCCTTTTTTCCTTTTTTTTTTCTTTTAAAATTTTCCATTTTAAGTTGGTTATTTCTGATTAATATTTAAAAGCAAATAATAATGATATGGTAGGAGATACACACCAAACAGGATGTGTAAATTATTATATAATAAGTATTGTGCAATAGCAAGAAATTTTCAATTGCACAGTATTGCACAATTGCAAGAAATCTTCAATTGCACAGTATTGCGCAATAGCAAGAAATCTTCAATTGCACAGTATTGCGCAATAGCAAGAAATATCCAATAGCACAATATTGCGCAATAGCAAGAAATTGTCAATTGTACAGTATTGCACAATAGCAAGAAATATTCAATTGCACAGTATTGTGCAAAAGAAGATACTTCGTATAAATTGCTTATTTCTTGATCAATTTCAATGGGGTTTTATTCTTGAATTCTTGGGGTTCTTTAATATGCTGAATCTAACCAAGTATTAAGTTTTTGGATTTTGGGCCCCGTTTTTAAATTGGTCCACATTGAGGTCCAAAGGGTCCAAAATTTAACTTTGTTTGATTTCATCAAAAATTGAATTATTGGGGTTCTTTGATATGCCAAATCTAACTGTGTATTTAGATTCTTAATTTTTGGTTCCGTTTTCAAATTGGTCTACATTAAGGTCAAAAGGGTCCAAAATTAAACTTAGTTTGATTTTAACAAAAATTGAATTTTTAGGGTTCTTTGATATGCTGAATCTAAACATGTATTTAGATTTTTGATTATGGGCCCAGTTTTCAAGTTGGTCCAAATCGGGGTCCAAAATTAAACTTTGTTTGATTTCAACAAAAATTGAATATATGGGGTTCTTTGATATGCTGAATCTAACCATGTATTTAGATTTATGATTTTTGGGCCCCATTATCAACTTTGTCCACATTGAGGTCAAAAGGGTCCAAAATTAAACTTTGTTTGATTTCATCAAAAATTTAATTATTGGGGTTCTTTGATATGCCAAATCTAACCGTGTATTTAGATTTTTAATTTTGGGTCCCGTTTTTTAAATTGGTCTACATTAAGGTCC